GTTCTGGGGGTGCTAGTCTTGGGGGTACTGTTGTGGCTTGTCCCGGCGGTCCTGCGGGTGGCATCACTGCTGGAGAGGGTTCTCGTCCTCGCGGTGCTGTCGTGGAGTGTCAAGGAGGTAGTCGTGGTGCGGCTGGAGGTTCTTGCGTCAGCGTGGAGCAGCAGCAGCAGTCGCCGCCGGTGTCTGCACTTTGCCTCCTAGAGCTTCCCTCCCCCGACCGCCCGCCTGCGCCTCCCCCACCGCCGCCTTCCCCGCCTGTCTACGGCCCTGTGATTCCTCCGCCGGACTCGTGCCCAGCTTGTTTCCCCCCTCGTTCTCCTCCTGTGTCTCCTCCCTTGTCTCCTGACCCGACCCCCACCTCTTGCTCGCGGACTCGATGTGCCTCTTGTGCTCGTCGTGTTTCTCCAGTCCAGCGCTCTCACCCTAAGTTGCTCCGCTTTCATGTGACTCGTGCTCCTTTTCTACCGTCGCCTCCTCTTTCTTACTTCCTTTGGGCCACTAGTCCGTTTTTTCCTTGCATTCTCGCCTCTCTCGTTACTGACCCGTCCGTTCTTGTCTCTAGTCTTGACGCTATTGTCGTTGTCGTCGCTGACTTTGCCTCTACCCGCCGCCTTGACTACGCCAAAGCTCTGGTCTCTAACCGTGCCCATCCTCCATCCGATAGGGGTGCACCTGCCCTTGGCAATGACGTCCTACAGGACAGGCAGTATGAGCTAGCTTTCCTGTCGAAGCCCGCTCCCCATCTCTACTCCATGCTGCTAGTCCCTGAGGGTGACCCAGACGCCCTTGATATCCCGACCCCTCGCACTTATACTGAGGCGACCTCGAGACCCTGGGCCTCTCAGTGGATAGCTGCCATGGACGCGGAGATGGCATCTTGGAGATCCACCGGCACCTACGTCGACGCAGTTCCCCCACCTAAGGTGAACATAGCTGATGGCCGGTGGCTTATCAAGGTGAGGCGCCTTCCTGGAGAGCCGCCGATGTTCAAGGCGCGCTAGATTTCTAGAGGCTTCATTCATCGCGAGGGTGTTGACTTCTTTCAGGCCTTCACCTCAACCCCGAAGATGACCACTCTTCGGGCGCTGCTACACGTAGCAGCACAGTGTAACTATGAGCTGCACTCCCTCGAGTTCTACAGCATTTCTTTAAGGCAGTCTGACGAGCAGGTCTACCTATGCCATCCGCAAGGCTTCACCGGCACCTTCGCCCCTGGTACCGAGTGGCTTCTCTGACGCCCAGTTTACGGCCTGCGGCAGGTGCCCCATGAGTGGTACGATACGCTGCGTGCAACGTTAGCTGACCTACAGTTCTTCCCGTCGTCTGCAAACCCTTCGCTCTTCGTTCGTACTGGCCACACCCGTTCTACATCCTTGTCTACGTAGATGACCTGGTCTTTGCTACTGCAGACAGAGACGCACTGGCCTCGGTGAAGGGTGAGCTGCTGAGGAGACACACCTGCACTGACCTAGGAGAGTTGCGCCGCTACCTTGGCTGACAGATCTCCAGGGATAGAGCAACGTGCACCATCACTCTCACACAGTCACACTTGGTGCGCCAGGTCCTTCAGAGGTTCGGACTTCAGTTCTCCTCCGCACAGCACTCACCTCTGCCAGTAGATCACAGGCTCTCGGCTCCATTCCCTGAGCTGTGTCTCTCTTGCCAGGCACTACCTCTTGTCTAACCTAGTGGGTGTGTCAACATATTTATATATTGTTATAGGCTTATCGAGAGTACAGCACCATAGCACAAAACCTGCGTGTATGCCTCATTCTAGTCATTTGCGTTATTCTGAGAGCAGGTTCGATAGTAGGCTCGACGAGTGGTCGGATGTTCAGGTTTGCTCAGTGACGTGGTTATTTACTGGTGCTGGCGATGTATGGTCGAAGTAATTGTTGAAGAATACTCGATAGAGTCATCACTTATGCATTCCTGATATTGTAACCAGACTGTACTAGTAGCGCGATACCGCATATGGAAGGACGCTCGTGATGGCGTCAGCAATAGGGGGTCAACGCGTGAACAGTAGGTTCGTGTGTATAGTCACCCGAAGGGTCACGCCACTCTCAGTCACACGAAAAGTCACTAGTCATGTTACGCGAATAGTCGCGATACACTACGAAAAGGTACATTCTGAATAGGTACTTCCTAGACTATAAATTTGCCTATATTATTCATTATTATCATCTTTCTCATTTCTCTGATGGCTAATCAGCCTACTCAGCAACAACAAGAAGCTCCAGTGCATCCTACATCTTCTACGAGCCTTGATAATTCTAGTTTTGCAAGAGCTGCTGATGCCGCTGGGCCTTCAGCCCCTAGAGATGAGTTCGCTGGGTCTTTTGCCTTTCATATGAAAGTGGATTAAAGTGAAAACCATTGGTGGTTAAAAGTCCACTTGCTTAGAATACCATGTTGAAGTGAGGAATGAATCCAAACGATTCTTGAGGTTACTATTTCCTCCAACGTCACCCAATTTCTTCGGTTAAACGTCGACTGCGGCCGCGATGCCATCTACCTTTCTGCAACCAAGTACGCAGAAACACTAGCGAAATAGTTAGCCATCGCTCACATCGGCCTCACCACTCCTTTTCGTCACATTTCAGCCGACCACACACCTGATACTACCCTACTTACCGCCTCCGATCATCAGCTGTACCAGTAGTAGCTTGGGTGTCTTCTATTTGCAGCTGTTATGTGCCACCCAGATCTTACCTACATCACAAGTCAGCGTGCACAGTACCTGCGCCGACTTAAAGGGGAGAATATGGAAGATCTTCATCAAGCCCTCCAATATTTTATTGCTACTTCCACAATTGAACTCAGCTACACGACAAATACTGCAGCAAATTTTCGACTGACTGGATACCTCGATGCGGATCACCCTGTTGACCCCGACAACAGGCGTTCGCATACAGGGTTCATCTTCAAACTTGAACTAGGTGGTGTCATTTCATGGAATTCAACGAAACAGGAGGTCATCCCTCTTTCGTCAGCCGAAGCAAAATTTGTCGCAACAAGCCCTGCAGTTCGCGAAGGACTCTACCTTCAAGAGTTACTTCAAGAGGCGAAAATCGCAAGGACATGTAACTTCAAGTTACTCAGCGACAACCAGAGTGCAATCAAGATTGCAAACAAGCCCATCTTTGTCAATAGGACAAAACACATCGCCCTCCGTTATTTTTTCGTCAAGGACAAAATCGACAAAGGGAACGTCAACCTGAAATACTGCCCTACAGAAGAAATGGCAGCTAATTTCTTGATGAAGAAACTCCCGCGTGGCACGTTTCAGTACTACTCCAACCTGGTTGTAATCTGCAAACGTGGCAACACTTACCCAAAAACATACATTGAGGAATGAAGGGGAGTGTTGAACTATACTCGACAGAGTTTACTTATGCATTCTTGATGTAACACTTAGACTGTACTAGCAGCACGATACCTCATATGGAAGAATGTGCGTGATGACGTTACTATACGCGAACTCAATCAATGGCTGTTGCTGCTCCCAGTCGGCCACATCCTCGCAGGTGGCGCAAATCAGCTACTCCATTGTCTGATTGGCCCGTTCGGTCAGTCCGCCAGTCTTGGGCTGGTAGGCGGAGGAGAATTCCAGGCGCATGCCAAACTGTTCCCAGAGGTTGCGCCAAAAATTGCTGGTGAACTTCGTGTCACGATCTGAAATGATGGCGGATTGGATTCCATGGAGGTGAACGACGGTTGAGATGAAGAGGCAGGTTGTTTCTTCGGCTTAGATACCTTTCTTGCAGGCGGCGAAGTGGGTCATCTTCGTCAGCTTATCGACGACGACAAATATCGCGTCATTACAACCGTCCTTGGCAGGCAATCGCGTGATGAAATCCATCGTCACCTGCTGTCACGCACGCTCAGGCGGCGGAATCGGCTGCAGCTGAATATCGGGCTTCTGCTTTGATGTTTTCATGGTTTGGCAGGTTTACCACGAGACCACGTGCCGCTGCACGTCCCCTTGAAGGTCGGGCCAGAAATATTGTCTGGTCAACTGCTGCTGGGTTTTCTCCATTCCGAAGTGCCCCGAAAAGATGTTGTCGTGAGCTTCCTGTAAAAGAAACTTACATGGTCGATTGTACTCTGGTACCCAGATGCTGTCGATTACTGACTTTACGTAATAAACTCCCTTAGCCGTTGCGAGCTGTTTGTACGCACCCGACGTAAAGAATCTATCTGTCTAGTACCCGTGGGTAAATAGGCATGTTAATTGCGGGGAAGTTTGGGCGGGGATTATGGAGTTGAGATGGGCAGATGGGCGAGGAAGGGGGTCTGCAATGTTGGATGCCCCTTTTTTGTAGGTGACGGTGTTATGGAAGTTGGACTCTATAAATTTTAACCACCGAATCTGTCGTGGGTTGAGTAATGGCTATACACGAATGTACTCTAGGCTTTGGTGGTTTGTCCGTACTGTCGTGTCCGCACCCGTCAGGTAGCACCGCCACACTTTGAACGCATGCACAATCGCGAGCATCTCCTTGTCGTGTATCGGATAGTTTTGCTCTGGCGGGTGCAGCTTTCGTGACTCGTACGTGATTGGCTGTAAACCTTCGCCGAAGTCCTATAACAGTACTACTCCAATGGCGATGTCACTGGCGTCTATGATTAGTTCTAATGGACGGTGAGGCTCGGCGATGCGAAGGACAGGGGCTGAGCACATAAAAGTTTTGAGCGTGGAGAAGGCAGCTTGCTCTTTCTCCCCCCATCTACTCAGTCCCTTTCCGCAGCAGGTCAGTCAACGGTGCAGTTACCCCCGCCATATTCGGGATAAATATCCGAACGTAGTTGATGAACCCTAAAAAACTTTGCAGCTCCTGCAGGTTCTTAGGTGGTAGCCAAGCTTGCACTGTCTCGATCTTGCGTGGGTCCACTTCGATGCCCTTAGTGGAAATAACGTGTCCCATAAATTCTATACGGTCTTTAAAAAGCTTGCCCTTAGACCCCTTCGTAAGCAGCCGATGCTCCTGCTGTAGCATGAAAATTGTTTCGGTCCTTTTTAGTGCTGCTCCGGGGTCTCGCTGTAGATCAGGATATCGTCTAGGTAGACTATAACATGCCTATCTATGAGTGAACTGAAGATCTGGTTCATGGTCATCTGAAAAGCTGTCGGGGCGTTTGTCAACCCAAAGGGCATAACGATATACTCGAAACCCTAGTACCTAGTACGAAACGCAGTCTTATGACAGTCAGTTGCGACTACGCGAATCTGATGGTAACCCCCTCATAAAACTATTTTGGAGAAGAAGCGAGCTTTGCGAAGCTGGTCTATCAGCTCGTCGGCGCGCGAGATAGGGTAGCGTGACTTAATTTTCACCTTGTTCAGTGCTCTGTAGTCAATGCACATTCGGTACCCGCCGTCTTTCTTCGGGGTGAATAGTATGGGGGCGGCAAATGGCGAGGAACTCGGGCGGATTAATCTTTTCTCCAGTAAGTAATTCCGCAATTCCTCTAACTCCGGCTGTGTTAATCGAAATTGCCGCTGCACCGTGGGCTATGTCCCTGGTTCTAATTTTATTCGATGGTCGAAGGGCCGTTCCGGTGGTAATCCCTCGGGTAGGTCATCTGGAAATATCTGCGGGAATCTACAAATCAGGTGCACTAAATCGGCCGGCACTGCTGCTGTCAGCTTCTCTATATTGGACGGTTGCGATGCCACGTCGACGGTGCGAACGACTACAGCGAAGACTTCCGCTCCCCGTGCGACTGCCTATTTGATCTCCATAGAGTTCACCAGCATCACTCCCCCTATGATCCCCTTTTTCCACTCTGGAAATGTCACACTGTGGCCATTCATCTTGATGGAATAGCTGCCGGTCGTCCATTCAAATTTTGGGTTGAGTCGTCGCAGCCAATCTCGTCCCGACAAAAAATCAAAGCCGTCGAGTGTAGTTGCCAGCATCCCCATCAGAAAATTGAAGTCAGCTCCACAGCATACCCTAATCCTGTCCGCCTTGTCTTTTATTGCTAGTGGGGTCCCATCGACTAGTCGAGCGTCAATCTTCGGTAGACACCTTCATTTTTTTTAGGTGGTGAGGTTGATCAAATTGTGGCTGGCTCCCCTCCCCCCACGAATATTTTTTTTCCCTTGAACACTACCCTCTAAATAAATGGGGTAATCCGCCGCTGCACCCTCCTTATTTAGCCGAGTTTGGTCGATTACGTGGATCGGTACCAGTACTCGATGAGGATCATCGGTCACGGGCGAGCAGGTTCCATCAGTAGTAGGCCCGTTAACTACTGATACTAAATGTTTCCCTGATTTCTGAAACTCCCTTGCCCCTGATTCCACTTCATCCTCTCCTCTGGGCATTCCAGCTTGTGGTAACCTGGTCTGTTACACCCGAAACAGCGATTGGTCGTGCAAAAACGCCCGATTACGCACGGCGTCGTGTCCGGCTCCTGCGACTGAATTACCTGCTGCCATCAATCCATAGCCAGTCCACATAGGAGCGACACGGCTTATCAGATTTTCTGTGTGTCGTCGTTGATGAGGTTGCAGTCGTAAAAAACGTTCAGGTGAAAAATCCACCCGCTGACGGACAAGTTGCCTCGTTGGCTCGGGTCGAACGTGGGTGGCCTCTGCGTCTTATTGATTCAAGGTGCCATGCTGATGTTGGCAGTTTGCAGGCCGGTTGGGGAGGTAATTGGGGGTGGCAGAATTACGTTCGCCCTTTCGCCAATTCGCGCTCGTCCAATAGCCGGTGGTGGGTTGTTCGTCGAGCCCTGGGGCGACGTCGTATATGGTCGCTGGTTGTCGCCAGGTATTTCAGAACGCTGCTGGGCTACTTGCTCCTGTTGTCCTTTGTCGTTGATGCGATCGTGTCGTGTCGTGTCTGCTGCTGTCGGCTCCATAGTGCAGATATCTCATATTCAGCTTGGGCCATTTCAGCTTGCAGACGTGTCAACTCCAGCTGGTACAACTCGTGGGTAAGACGGACTTCATCAATTATTGCTGCCCTTTCCTTAGGAGTCATGCTGGTAAATGCCGACGGATCCACCATTTCGCGGAAATTTAGGCGGCTTTCGGCATGCTGGCACTACGAACACAGTCCTGGCTGTAGGTAATTATCAATGAATATTACCACGGCAGCGGATATGCAGTAAGTGCAGGGCGTCAGCCTCCCTAAGTGTCGGTATTGCAGCGGAACTAGAGCGCAAGGCTGAGGATCGTTGGCTCTGATGGCCAGGCGTAATGAAGCTCAAAGAGCGTGTGTCGAAGGACTGATTAGCGAGGAAACAATACAACTCATAAAACATCAAAACAGTAGGGAGCATGGACATGAGCATGTACAACGGTACGATGAAGGCGATCCATGATACGACGAAACCAATCGACTTATGGCATCTTTGGCCACACCTCAGCGTGGCTAGTCTTAGAGATAACATTCAATATGAAATTGTGCACCATACTCTTGCATACGCTCAAATCCTTGGCGATTTTCCTAGTGCTCACCCCCTTATGCAAAAGCGTGGGTCCAGGAAGAGTGCGAGAAGATCGTTGTAAAGGTTTGCACTAACCTCATAGATAACATTCATAGGAGGGTGCGGGTGGTGATCAAGGCCAAGTGTCGGTTGACTAGGTACTAGAAACGATGCTCGGAAGTTTGCTCTTTGTCCTGGGAAACAATTGTCCGGATGTACTCTTTGCATATCTTTTGGCACTAAGTTAGATCCTGTGTACTATCATGGATTTTAGTGTTGCGAACACATCCACTATGTGCCCCTCCCAAAGCGTACCACCATCAAATATTAAGAGTTTATGTACACTGGTCGGAAAGCTCAAAAGCCCTACTTAATGCAAAACATCCGGACAATTGTTTCCGTCACTGTACTTGCCCGAAAGAATTTTCTTGCCGCTTGCAGTTTCGCGTGGAACGAGTTTCCACGTTTTCTGCTTCTTGAGAGCTACTACCTCTGCATCCATAGCTGCTTGCCACTTGTCAGCATCAGAGCTGGAGAGGGCTTGCTTGATTATTATCGGCTCGATCCTGGTCGCTGCTGCGATAGCAAGACCGAGGGACTGAAGAGGCGATTGGTCACCACAAGGATGAGGTTGGCAAACTTCGATGACGCCATCATCGTCAATTTCGGATAGCAGATGACGGGCACCATCATGTGATGCTGCGTCAGTTTTCTGGCGGCGTAGGTGTTCCTCATTATTATAGGAAGCCTGTATCGTGGCAGGACGCAACGGGTCAAAGACGGGAATGAAGAGCAGGGTTTCTGTGTTGTTGGCACGTGTTGAAGGGATATAGGATTCAAACAATGGTTCTTGTCCTGATGAGGGACCAAGTTCGGCTGCTGACGAGGATGGCTGCGGAACTGTAGAAGGTCATGCTGCGCTATCGGGCGGATAATATTCTTCGGCTGCATCTGCTTCGTTTTGAGGAGTGGTGAAACTCCGTTCGACACTGTAGCGATCAGGATCTCGCAGTTGGCGTTCCTTGTCGCGTTCGAAGTCATCAAGAAAAAGTTTCTCATAGAAGATGCAGTCTCGGGCATTCAAAACCTTTTGGGATTTGTAATCCGTTGTTATCCACGAGTAGGAATCTTTAGTTACACCGAGGTGCATTCCCCATCGAGTCCGTTAAGTAAACCTGCCCAATAGTTGCGCTCGACGGTTTGTATTGGAACATGCAGCCCCAAACTCGTACGATTCTAGTGTCGGCGGGGTGTTTTTTCTACATAATGTGTGGCGAGCTGAACTGAGGAAGAGCTGCTGAAGACAAGCAGTTGTGTATTTGGATCCCTTTCAGTTTGATTGTCACAGGATCGAATGTGTCGAGGAAAGATTGCACTATCGATCAGTACAAGGCGCTTTTATACTTCCAGAGTACATCAGGTAACCAGGTTTATCTTATCCTAAGGGAATAGACCCTTCTAGAAAATAGAATCACTCTGCGTATAGCCACGCGAGGCTATTGGCTTTAAGGGATTACGGCAGGATTACGCTAGATAGAGCGTACCAGTACATCCCAAGCCTGGTCGGTAATATAATTATAATAGCAGGATAAACCAAAGGTGAATGGAAAATGGAGAACAGGAAACCAAATGAGATGAGAGAAAAAGAGGAATGAAATAGGAAGGAAATAAGAAAAAGGACCAGTGGTGTAACGGGGTCGTACTCTCACACTTCCCCCCCTCAAAGCTGGGTGGTAGAAGTAACACCCTGCTTGACAAGGTAGTCATGCAGAGGACGACGGGCGTTACCCATGTCGGACTCAGATACCCAGCTGTCCTCAGAAGGATCATAACCCTTCCAACAGATGAGAAGCTCCACGGTGCCATTCCGACGACGGCGGTGTGCGAGCACGGACTCGACCTCGTACTCGGGTTCATTCTGGACGAGGACGGGCGGTGGCGGCGGCGGTTGGCGTCCGACGAAGATCGTGTTCGGATCCTTATAGGGCTTCAGAAGTTGGACATGGAAGGCGTTGTGAATCTTCCAGGTAGCTGGTAGGCGTAAGCGGAAGGTAACAGGAGTGACCTGTGCTTCAACGAGAAAAGGCCCGCAGAAGCGAGGTCGAAGTTTAGATGGGAGGTGGCTGATGTCCAGGTTGCGGGTGTCAAGAAGTACCTGGTCTCCCACCGTGATGGTGTGGTCGTTGCGATGGCGATCGGCCTGGCGCTTTTGTTGCTGCTGAATGTCAAGGAGGCGCTTGTGGGTCCGATCCCAATGCTGATGCATGGTTGTGATGAAATCATGCGCAGGTTGGACTGTAGCTGATGTTGTCGGTTTTTGTGGTGTGAGTGGGTGGCGTCCGTAGCAGAGGAAGAACGGCGTCTGTCCAGTAGCGGCATGTGTAGCATTGTTGTAAGCAAACTCGAGTACGGGCAGGTGCAAGTCCCATTTGGAGATCTCGTCTTTGCAGGCTGCTCGGAGGAGTTGCTCAACAATTTGGTTGAGGCGCTCGGTCTGTCCGTCTGTCTGCGGATGGTAAGCGGATGACATGGCGAGTTTGGTCCCGAGGAGAGACATAAGTTCCTTCCAGAACTTGCTGGTGAACTTGGGGTCTCGGTCGGAGATGAGTGTGGTTGGAATGCCATGCTGTGAGATGATGTATCGAACGAAGAGTTGTGCTGTTTCTTTGGTGCGTGCTGTCGTGTGTGTCGGGATGAAGTGTCCCATTTTTGAGAATTTGTCGATGACGACAAGGATTGTGTCATGACCGCTGGTGGTAGGTGGTAACCCGGTGATGAAGTCCAGGCTAACCACTTGCCATGGTTGTTCTGGGACAGGAAGAGGCTGCAGTAGTCCCGCCTTTTTCTGCTTGCTGCTCTTCATTCGCTGACATGTATCACATGAGGTGACGAACTTCTGAACGTCTTCTGCCAAGTGGGGCCAGTAGTAGTGCTTTGCGATACCGGTCAGCGTCTTGTTGCTACCGAAGTGTCCGGCGTAGAGGACGTCGTGGTATTCTTCGAGTAGTAACTGGCGCAAAGGAGGGTAATTGGGTACCCAGATTTTCGTTGATCCTTTTCGTAAGCGATGTCGGATTCCCACTGTAGCAGATGTCGCTTTTCTGCCAAGGGAATTTCGGGGTCGGTGGCGTACCCGTGTGTGAAGAGTCCCTTGAGTAGTGGATTCATCCCTTCGACCTGAATAGCGGCAACGTGTGCAGGCCGGCTGAGAGCGTCTGCTTTGTTTTTGTGGCCGGGCTTGTACACGATGTCGTAGTGGAAGTGTGTCTCGAGGAAGTCGATCCACCGGACCTGTCGCCTGGAAAGGTTGGGTTGTGTCTTCAAGTATTTCAGGCTGCAGTGGTCGGTGTAGACGGTTATTCGTCGTCCTTCGAGATAACATCTCCATGCTTTGAAGGCGATGATGATAGCAAGGGCCTCTTTGTCGTGGATTGGGTAGTTGAGTTCTGCCCCGTGTAGTTTCTTGCTGAGGTAGGCGATTGGTTGCAGTCCATTCCCTTGATCTTGCATTAAGACTGCTCCCACTGCCTGGTCGCTGGCGTCAGCTTCGATGACGTAGTCGCGTTCGGGATCTGGCAAGATGAGTATGGGTGCGGACGTAAGTGCTTGCTTCAGCTGCTCCACGGCTTCTTGGTGCTTCGGCTCCCATTTGCAGGGTGTGTTCTTCTTCAGCAGATTCGTGAGTGGTGCTGCGATTTTCGCATACTGTGGCACGAACCTGTTGTAATAATTAGCGAAGCCTAGGAACTGCTGCAACTCCTTCACATTCTCGGGTGTCTGCCACGTACGTACGGCTTCGATTTTCTTGGGGTCGACGTGAACTCCTTGAGCGCTCACCATGTGTCCTAGGAACTTGACCTTCTCAAGGGCGAATTCGCTCTTGGACAGTTTGACGTAGAATCGTTCGCGTCGAAGAATTTCGAAGACGCGTCGCAGGTGTTCGACGTGCTGCTTCATGTCACGTGAGTAGATGAGGATGTCGTCCAGGTACACCACCACGCATTCGTCCAAAAGTGGTCGTAGAATATGGTTCATTTTGGCTTGGAATGTTGCCGGTGCGTTGGTGAGTCCGAACGGCATTACCAAATACTCGTATGATCCATACCGAGTTCGGAAAGCAGTTTTGTGGATAGAGTTATCCGCCATTCGTATCTGCCAGTATCTGGACCGCAGATCCAGTTTGGAAAATACTGTAGCTCCCCGAAGCTGATCAAGCAGGTCATCGATTCGTGGTATCGGATATTTATTCTTGATGGTCTGCTTGTTGAGAGCTCGGTAGTCGATGCACATGCGCAGGCTTCCGTCCGGTTTCGGTGTGAAGAGCACTGGGGCACCGTATGGTGAAGTGGATGGTCGGATGAGTCCTTTGGCTAGGAGATACTCGATCTGTTTTTTCATGTCGGTCAGCTCCGTAGGGCTGAGCCGATATGGTGCTCGGAAGGTCGGCTTCGAACCCGGTTCCTCTACGATCTCATGCTGATGCGTTCGGTATGGCGGTAGCTCGTTCGGAAGATCGTCCGGAAGAATGTCTTGAAACTCCTTTAACAGTTCCTTGATTTTCCCTGGAGGTTCCGAGGTTCTCTCCCTGTCGTTCTCCGCCTCTGTAGCTATTGCCAGGAACCCTGTGTCGGTTCGCTTCACGTCCTTTTCGAATCGTGCGAGTGTCTCCACTGGGATATCTCCTGTATCGTCCCAGTTGGGTAGCTATACTCTCCGTCCATTGTTGTAAATGCTTGCGGTGCGGTTCACCCAGTTGATCTCGGGGTTGAATCTTTTTAGGAAGTCTCGCCCAAAGATCAAGTCAAGCCCTTTGATGTTGGTGATGGGGAGTGCAGGTCTCCAGCGCAGTGGTCCAATTTGTAGATGTAGCACTGCTTCCCCGTGTACTGGTAACTTGCTGCCGTCCACCATCGTTGCAGAAAATCTTGAAGGCTTGTACTCTTCTCGAAGCCGGTCAATTACAGCCTTGTCGCAGACGGTGTGTGATGCTCCGCTATCCACGAGTGCTTGGAGGCATCGTCCTTTGCAGATGACCTCGAGCACGAGGGGCAGGCGTTGCTCGGTGTACCCAAAGATAGTTTCATTGATTGGGTCATAGGGTACATCCCAATATTCCGTACACACCTTTGTGTTGCTATCTACTCCTGAGCTGGCAGCTGGCCGAAGCTGCTTGGAGAACGGCTCTTCTCCAGGGCCCGGAGTTTCCTTGACGACTGTGCGCGTCATCGATGCCGAAGAACTGGATGCATCCGGAGGAGGAGTTCGGGGTTTGTGCAGCTTTTTGTAGACCCCCAGCTTCCTCTTGAGCTGCTTCAGCTCCACCGACGTCTTCCCTGGGGAACGGGTAGTCGTTGTGGGCTTGTGTCGGGAGAGGACGTTGACCCCGTGGAAAGGTCGGCTTCTTTCCACACTACTTAATTTTTTCCCCAAGTTGTCCGGTACCGGTATAATCTCCGGAATTTTCTCCAAGGCTCTAGCCCCTCGAAAATCATAAGTTTTCATTAAAGCATGTTTATAAGATAACTTTAACGAATCCTTATATTCCCTTGGGTCTTCAAGGAGTTTCCCCGTCTCGGCAGAGTCCTTTTTCGCGGAGTCGTATTTTTCCTCGGCGATTTTCCCTGGCGAAGACTGGTCGTGGGGTGGAGATTTTCCCCCATCATTTCCTCCTTCTCGCGTCGAATCAGCTTCATCGAAGTTGATTTTCCCGGAATCCCGCGGCCGCTTTCGGATCTTTTTATTTTCGCCAGCTAGATCCGCAATCACTGGCGACTCCGGTTTTTTGGCTTCTGATTGGCCGAAGAAATTCCGCCACTGTTGCGTGCCCGATACTCTGCGCGTGCGGCTTTCATTTTGTTGCAGTCGAAGATTCGGTGACCCGGCACCCCGCAAAAATCACACGTGTAGTTGGTGTTTTTCGGACGTGGCCGCCCCTCGAATCTGTCGACTTCCATCGGGTCGGCGAACGTGGGGTGAGCCGATCGGTCGCCGTGTCGTGTACTGCCGACGTGCGTCCGTCGTGTCCCGGCGTTGACCATGTCGAAGCTCTCCGCTGCCGAAACGACGTCACTATAGTTCGCGTAGTTTGACGCTGCTACCTGTCGTTTGACTTCGGTCTTCAGCCCGGCGAGGTACGACTGTAGTTTTTCCCCTTCTCTCAAATCGGGAATTCGTTTATAAAATTCCTCCATCTGCTGCGTGTACTGTGCTACACTCCCGAACTGTCGATGGCGATGAATTTTTTCCCGAGCAAGGAAACTGGAATTTATCGGCTCGAAGCGTTTCAGTAGGTCGGCGCGGAACTGCTGCCACGTGGCTTCACCGTGGATAAAAGTGTTGTTGCCGCCAATCCACTCGAGTGCCGGCCCTCGCATCAGTGTCGCCGCGAGTCGTACGCGTTGTCCGTCCCAGACTGGCGAGCTCCATCCGACGGCTGTGAAGTAGATCTCCATCCCGGCGATCCATCTGCGGGCGTCGGAGTTTCGATCGCTCGGATCGAACGGCTCAGGTGGACGCGGTTTCGGAGCCTCGAGAAACTGCTGCGACTGCTGCGTCGTCGCCGTTGTCGAGTCGTGCTGCGCTCCGGCGAGTCGAGTTACTCGTTCGAACTCGTTTCGCCATGCTTTGCGATCCGCTCGCATTTCCTCCTGAAGGACTGCGATGCGCGCGAAGAGCTGCTGGGTAACCTCGGCGTTGTCGAAGGTTGCCATCCTATTCAAAACACGCACGGAGGGGGTGATTTGAAAATCGCGGAGCTGGTGCTTACCAGAATTGGCGTCGAATTGGTCGCCCCCGGCGGTTTTTCGAGGCAGGTTTTCCCGCTGCTGCTGCTTTGTTGAGCGCGACCGAGTGAGAAAAGCTCTGATTACCAAGTGTCACAGGATCGAATGTGTCGAGGAAAGATTGCACTATCGATCAGTACAAGGCGCTTTTATACTTCCAGAGTACATCAGGTAACCAGGTTTATCTTATCCTAAGGGAATAGACCCTTCTAGAAAATAGAATCACTCTGCGTATAGCCACGCGAGGCTATTGGCTTTAAGGGATTACGGCAGGATTACTCTAGATAGAGCGTACCAGTACATCCCAAGTCTGGTCGGTGATATAATTATAATAGCAGGATAAACCAAAGGTGAATGGAAAATGGAGAATAGGAAACCAAATGAGATGAGAGAAAAAGAGGAATGAAATCGGAAGGAAATAAGAAAAAGGACCAGTGGTGTAACGGGGTCGTACTCTCACATTGATGCTGCTTTGTCGCTCCGCAATTTTCAGCCATAGTTTGAAGGCGTCGAGAACTTTAGACTTGTGGGAGATATTCTTGTGCCAGGTGTATCGAATAGCACCATTGATGAAGTAATTATATAGCGGTAGTCGTTGCCGCTGATTTCCTTTGCTTCCTACGGCATGAAGAGTATATCGCTGAAAACAACATCCATAAGTGAGTACTTAGTAGCACATGGAAAGTGCGGCGAGAACGGAGCATGACTTAGGTGAGCTCTGGGGGAGATGGTGCAGGGTATTTGACGAGTGCTAGGTTGAAGCTCTTGGTCGTTGGTTAGAAGGAGAGCATCCTTTGTTGTGTGATGTCATCATATGCTATCACATTCTGTCTGCCTCCCATCCCTTGTTTCAATCCGCATGTATGGTTTGACTATGTGAGAAAGAAATTGTGTGTGGTGTGTTCTGGAGTTTGGGAATGTGTTCTGTGTTATTTTTTGTTTGAGCAGGTATTTGTGATGATAGATCTTGAGAAGATCTTTCCGACGCAACAAGAATCGCTTCAATCGGAGCAAGAACGCGAAAGCTATGAAGATTCAAAGTTCATGAGCTTGCGTTACAATTGCGGCGGTTACAAAGTGAAGTTGTGGGGTGACTCTATATAGAGTTGGGACCTTTGGGGTTGGGGAAATTTGTCACTCTACTGTAACAGCTGCAAATTGGTTGGGAACAACCAAGCTAGGTTGGCAAGGGTGGCCAACTTGGATGGATTGGTTGGGAAGGGACAAATGTCAAATTTGGGGTTCCTATAGGGGGGGAATCTTTGTGCTTATGGGGTTTCCTTGGTTGGGGACTCTCTTAGGACATTCCCTCTCATCCCTCTCTTCTATCCCAACCTTTCTCTTGCTCCTCTAATTCCTTGTGAGATTCTTGAACTTTGATTGAACTTTTGAGATTGAGTTAAGTTCTCCTCCTACAGTTTACTTCTCAGTGCGTCGAAAGACATAGCGTCGCGAATACTCCATCAATTGACTTGATTCAAATTGGGAACGGTATCTACAATTACGAGCTACAACATATTCGATTTTCGCGACATTCCAACGGTTAGTGTTTTGTCGACGTTGTTTCTTGTGAAGACGACTTTTCTGTCCAGAATTTCGGATTTATATTTTGAGTAATTCTAGCTCCTAAGGTCACCTAGACTCCGCCCTTAATCCTAACATCCTTGTCAAAAACCAAGGCTTTAATCGAGTTGTTAAGAGCTTCTTGCGAGGGATGACGTAACCGCTTGTGCCAGATTTCTGCTGTAGTACTGTGTCCCTTTGAACGCAGGTACAAGTCGGAGTAAAGGAAGAAAGACAGCGAAAGTTGAATCGTTGGCGCAGAGTTGACCAGCGGCCGGTGCCTAAAGGATGGATAAACCCGGCTTCTTCTGCAGTTTCAACCCAAGGTATGCCAAGATGTCGGCAACGCGCCCAATCATCATGTACGATTAACTCTTTCTTGCCCCATGTGCATTCAACATCCAAATGTTCTTTGACTGTAGCAGATGTCGGCTCTTGATTGTCGTAACCCGAGTTGTCATCTCTAGAATTGTTTCTGTTGCTGCTGATGCCGCTTCTATTGGCTCTGCTGCAGGTTCGTAGAGGGAGTTGGTGCGAGAAGGCTGAGGCATCATGACGCAGAAGACATTGAGAACACGATGGTCTTGGCGTTGGAGATCCATTTCCCAGTGATAATGACAAGGAGCAAGTGAGACGTTCTTCTCACTATCACCAGACGCCTTCACAGGTGAAAATCATAAAACAGAAATGTCGCCTTTAATTTCTACGATGCTGACTAAATTGCTTTCATCTTCCTTCTTGTCGCCTAGGTACAACTCCGTGAGCATCGTGTTGGCGGTGCTGACGAAGCAGATGCCACTTTCCATCAGCTGCGCTTGTGATGATAAGTTGAAGCCGAGTCCCGTAGCGACAAGAACCTTATAAAGGTGAAGTGAAACTTCGGTGTCGTCAGACTCTAGTATCACATCTCTAATACTGGTGGCTTCAATAACTTGGTTGTTGGCCACTGTGATGTTGTATTTTTTTCCGTTTGGCAGGTCGCGCCAGTTGAGGGGATGGCGACTTGAAAACGCCATGTAGTGACCGTAGCAAATATCAAGAAACCAAGTGTTAACATGCTCGGGATACGTACGCTTGGCGATATGGGCGTACGGCTGCACGTTCAACCATCGAGGAAACCCGTTCGGCTGCTCTGGTTCTTCTTCATTAACGTCTGCTGGTTCTGGAGTTTCGGAACAAGGACGAAGACGTAGAGGTAGATTGGCTGCTACTTCTTCCATGTCAGTATCACTATCTTCATTGTCTCGTCGACTCCAGTAGTGCATACCACTAGACCAGTGTGGTCCAATCATGCAATTTATAATTGCCTTTCCTTTTGCAGGTTGAGTTGAAGAAGCTGAAGGCGGCGAGGTAGTCTTGACAGGGGCTGCTTCACCCGACTTCTCCCGATTCCTGTTCTTCAATTTCTGACACTCTTCAATATTATGACCTGCTCACTTGCAAAACTTGCAAAAGCCCTTTCCTCCTTTTCTTGTCTACTCCCATTGATTTGATGCACCTCTTGTCTGCTCCCCTTGACTTGATCCACCTGTATAGAAGCTCCTTTTATTGTGCCTCCTTTTGCGTTGTACAGGTCCAAGTCCTGCTGCTCTGCCATTAGAGTAGGGCAAAGAGAAGTTTCTGAGATCTTCCCTTGGGAACGAATAAGGGACTTGCACAGCCTCCATTTGGGTCCGTGTCCAGCCAGAAGGATAGTGGCAAAGAGCTCGTTGCTGAGGTTTCCTCTGCACTTGCTGAGCTGATCCCGAAGGGTTCTGCACCTGTTAATGTAGCTGCCGGCTTTTTTCCCCGTAAACATTTGCATTGCTGTACGTTGACTTAATAGCTCACTCTGTGTGACGGAATCTTGTGCTTGATATACCTTTCGCAGGTAGTCCCATGCATAGAAGGCTGTAGCAAGTGAAGGTTTCATAACACGCCTATTCTTCGGTCGATCCTATCTCTGGATAACGGATTGTACCATCAAAATATCCCCAGATACTAGAAGATTGCACGAGGAGTTCGAACTCGAATCCCCAAGTATAGAATTCGTGGCCATCAAAGTAAGTTGAGGTCTTCAGCTTGGAGATAGTTAGGAAATCTGCTTGATTTACGACAGCTTCTGCAGCAAATTGTATTTCTTCTGCCATTTGATGTTGTTGCTGCTGTGGTTGTTGTTGTTGCTATGGTTGAGCAGGTCGCACATGAAAGGCAAAAGACCTAGCGGAGTCATCTCCAGGGGCTGAAGGCCCAGCAGCAACAGCAGCTCTTGCATAACTAGAGTTATCAAGGCTCATAGAAGCTGTAGGATGCGCTGGAGCTTGTTGTTGTTGCTGAGTAGACTGATTAGCCATGAAGGAAGTGAATTCAGATAGATCGTCAGTAGAAAGACCAGAAGTATGAGAATTCGTAGTTGAATTTCTTGTCTTAGCAACTGACATAATCATACATCTATGACTTCAAGCCGCGGTACACATTCCCTGAGTTATTTTCAAACTATAAACATTGGGATATTGATTACATTGTAACGTGGGCTGCTGAAAATTTGTCCTCGCCCGTCGTGAAAAACAGTCGATCGAGCAGAATGTGGGATTTTTGTACTGCAAATCCCTTATTCTCGCAAGGTGACTGTGTACCCACGCCCTATAAATCTGTTACTCCCCCGTTCCCTCTGTTTCATTCCTCCCCGCGCCTGTCATGCGTTCCCTTCGCCCTACCATTTTGTTTCCACCCACCCCACAATCTCGAATGTTTACACATTTGCTTCCCCGCCCGCCCCTGTCATTCCCCCCCTCCCCGAATTTCATCCCAACCCCCGCGCGAGATGCGAATGTTTACACTCGCCGCATTTGTCCCAATAGCAGCTCACAAGTGTGATGAAAAATAGCAGGCTACAAACCAATCAAGATCCGTCGCTTTTACCCTTACGTTCGCCAGTCCCCCTACCCAATTAGCACAACCCTTCCCTGTTTGTCACTGTTCATTTTTGTACGGGAATGTGTTCATTAAGCTTAAGGGCATAATCGAAATCAACTTGTATCGGTTCCTATAACTCCAGTAGCTCGGAATACCTTGTAGAAGTAGACCATGTGTTTAGGGTGGTCAGGATCTAGAGTTGGTGGAACCACGAGTAAAAGTCAGTGGAAGGCTTTACACATTGTATTGGAAATGTCCGAAATGATAAGGATAATAATAATGAGTAATACAGGCATATTTATGGTCTAGGAAGTACCTACTCGGAATGTACCTGCTCGTATTGTAACGCGACTATTCCCGTGACATGACTTGTGATTGTTTGTGTGACTGAGAGTGGTGTGACCCTTCGGTTGACTAAACGCGCGAACCTTCTGTTCACGCGTTGACTCGCTACTGCTGGCGTCATCACGCGCGTCATTCCATATGAGGTATCGCACTACTAGTACAGTCGAAGTGTTACATAAGGAAATGAATAAGTAAACTCTGTCGAGTATACTTCAACAGGCACAACTGAACTACAGTCTCAAGGAACCAAGACTCGTAGAGATCTCCCAGCGTTCAGGGTTTATTCTTCCCTGAATGCTGCCCGGGCTGCCCTGGGCTAATTTTTTTTGGAAGGGAATGTCAGGCCTTCGGTTAGGATTTGGAATAGTCGTTTATGTAAGGGTACTAACCCTCTGCCATTTATCGATAATGTTTTTCTTTTAAAACTTTTGTTTACAAGGGTCCGAAATTTCCTTGCTTTTCCACATCAGGGTTTGCAAACAGCATACCCTTTCCCTTTGCCCGAGAGTTGCTTAGCATTATAGAAACACACATTGTACAACAAAACTCACTAAGCATGCACCCTACTCATCATCGCTATTGATGTTATTGCTACTGATGTCACTGCAGTTGATGCTGATGCTGCTGCTGCTGCTACAGTCAGCGAATGAGTTGGCCAGGGATCGGTGGTGGATACAAGAACCATAAAAGGGTCATAAAGCATTATATCCATAGACCACGACCCTCCTGCCATCCATAGCAGGCAACAGACAACAGACATGCCATAGCTAGCAACAACGGCCCACGGACCCACGGACCCATCGATCCATGGACCCACCCGCCGTAGAAGGGGATCTTGGCCTTGGTGGCGTTCTGCTCGAGCTGGTAGAAGGCTCCTGCGCAGAAGGCGTCGGCGCACTTGAGCGCAATCTTACAACCCTTGCATTGGTAGAAGTGCACATACTTGCCATTCGTCATCGTCTTGCCCGACCCAAGGGTGAGAGAGAGGGATGGGGGGGGGGAGGGGGGGGGGGGGGGGGGTGGCAAAAAGGGAGGGAGCGATGGGGATTCAGGGTGGGAGGACGGGATAGAGGGAAAATGAGAGGAAGGACAAAGGGAGGCAGGGAGGGAGGACGCGTGAAGGAGAGGTAGAGGGAGGTGGGAAGGGGTGAGCACATATGAGTGCAGGCTTCCATCCCTTGCGCTGGTACAAGTGCGCGTACTTGCCATACGTCGTCGTCTTGCCCGACCCTGTAGGGGGAGAGAAAGGCGGAGGGAGGGATAAATGGAGATTGGGAAAATTTGTGGGAGAGCTGAGGGCATGTGAGGAAGGAGAGATGAAGCAGGAACAATGAAACACAGGACAATGATTTGAATGACAGAAAGGACGGAAGCAGGGAGGGACGGAGGGGAAGGGAGGTGAGTCAGGGAAGATGGTTAACCTTGCAGACCGACGAACATGATGATGTTGAGCTTGCCCTTCTTGGGCTGGTACGGCGTCGTATTGGGGTCCAGCATGTTGCACAGCTCATTGAAGATCGCCTGCCGTGCCATGCCATGTTGCACACATATGCACACAACCTGGACACAAAGAGCAAAAGGCAGCAGGGGGACAGGGAGAAGCATGGGTGGTGAGCGACGAACGAAATTAAGGGCGGATCATGGAGGGGACAGCGAGCGTCTTCGCTCACCATCCTCCTCCTCCTCGTCCTCAGTGGAGACGCACAGGCACTATGAATGTTGTCGAAGAGGAAACGGCCCAAGGCACGACATGAAGCGTGAAGCAGAGTGCTGCACGCACAGTAGGACAGCCATGGTATCTCTGCGAGGAAGAATGAATTGTAGAAGAACCAGCAAGCCAAACGAAGAAAAAAGGGGGGTGATAGCCGAGTCCAAACAGGCTATTTGTCGCGCCAGGTCTCGAGGGCTCCTTGCGGGTCTTAGAGTAGCTCGCCTTGCAAATTACGGCGGGAACTGTGTTCTATTTGCCAATCCTAGATCGTCTCACTATTGGCGCCACTACTACTCCTGAGGTCGCCTTTTCGTGAGGCTAAAACACACTATACGTAGTGGGGGGAGTTGTACGTCGATGAGCAGACGGATATTTTTTTATAACACGTGTAGTGGCAGCTGTGGCTTCCTACGAGTGATTAACTGCGAGATAATGGACTTCTTGAAACCTGTTGCATACCCATGGAGCTCTTGAATGACGGGAAGTGGGGTGTGGTCGCATGGAGTGCATTTTGGTTGAGTTGTGCGACTATTGGGCTTGTTGCACCGTATTCCACCGAAGTCGTGTACCGGCAGGGTGAGTCGTGGTCCTCTCGCGATGTTTCTAACTGTCGCATTCCTCTTTTTCTTTTGGGTTGCGGAGCAACCTACTACGATCGATCGGACGAGATTTTTTTTCAAGTTTAATTAACAAATTTGTGAAAAAAAAATTCTATTATACTGAATTTAAAGATGGAGATTAGTGACCAATATAGTAGGAATCATTTATTTTAACTATATGGATTCATCAACTTGACTATGTAAATAGTTGGATGAAAGTGCCATACTAGAACTACGTATAATGCTGTACTTCAAAATAGACATTAATGGAAAACAAATGTGTTCATGTTTTCCATCATTTCTTGTTTTGTGCTTTAAGAATAAAAGGAAAGAAAAAAACTCTCTTCCAAAGCTATCTGAATGTGATTTTCATTTATATCTGTAATGTAGTATAATGTATCAATTACACTATATTATTGATTAAAAAAATATGGAAAACAAAAATTGTAAATGTTTTCCATAATTGCCTAACGCGTATTTTTGTCGGCGACAAAAATAGGCAATCGCTTCCCCAGCTAAGTGGGGGAAATCGAAAGCCTAGTAGACAAGTCACACGACATATTTTGAGGCAATACATTCATGATAACAACAAAATGGATTGCACTTATCATCTCCAGTTCAAATTACTGCACTTAAGGTGGAAAGTCAAAGAACCTTACTAAGACGATCAATACAACCCACTTTCTTGCATACACAAAATGCACCAACCGTCTATCAAACAAACAGTAGCAAAACGGAAAAATATTACATCCCAACACAAAGCAAAAGAAAAGGAACACTGACACGATACATGGACTCTAAGATGCATGAGGAGAAAGAAATCTCGCACGAAGCATAAAACATGTTATTCTAGATAAAAACCACTGTTGGAAACCAGAGATCTTTTCCTGACGCATTCCTGATGCACCAACACACATGGAAAAAAAAAGAAGAAAATAATAGAAGTTGATTGAGAAAACAAGACATGGTAGAATACGGGAAAGGACAACGAGGATTGAAGAAATGAACGACATATCAGACAGGGAAGAGAAAGAACGAAAGAGAGAGAAGAGAGGGAGAGAACGAAAGAGAGAGAGAGAAGAGAAAGAGAGAGAGAGAGAGAGAGAGAGAGAGAGAGAGAGAGAGAGAGAAGAGAGAGAGAGAGAGAGAGAGAGAGAGAGAGAGAGGAGGAGAGAGAGAGAGAGAGAGAAAGAAAGAGAGAAAGAGAGATTGAGAAAGAGGAAGAAAGAGAGGTATGTAAGAGAGAGCAAGAGAGTTAGAGAGAGAGAGAGAGAGAGAGAGAGAGAGAGAGAGAGAGAGAAGAGAGAGAGAAGAGAAGAAGAGAGGAGGAGGAGGAGGAGAGAGAGAGAGAAAAAAAAAGGGAGAGAGAGAGAAAAAAAGAGAGAGAGATAAGGAAAAGAGGGTAGAAAAAAGGGGGTATATATAGAGAGAGCAAAGAGAGGTAGAGAGAGAGAGAGAGAGAGGAGAGAGAGAGAGAGAGAGAGAGAGAGAGAGAGAAAAAAAAAAAAAAAAAAAAAAAAAAAAAAAAAAAAAAAAAAAAAAAAAAAAAGAAGAGAGAAGAGAAAGAAAAAAAGAGAAGAGAGAGAGAGAAGAGAAGAGAGAAAAAAAAAAAAAAAGAGAGAGAGAGAGAGAGAGAGAGAGAGAGAGAGAGAGAGAGAGAGAGAGAGAGGAGAGAGAGAGAAGAGAGAGAGAGAGAGAGGAGAAGAAAGAGAGAGAGAGGGGAGGAGGAGAGAGGAGAGAGAGAGAGAGAGAGAGAGAGAAGAGAGAGAGAGAGAGAGAGAGAGAGAGAGAGAGAGAGAGAGAAGAGGACGAGAGAGAGAAGAGAAAAAGAGAGAAGAAGAGAAGAAAAGAGAAAGAGAGAGAAAGAGAAGAAGAAGAGAGAAAAAAAAAAAAAAAAAAAAAAAAAGAAAAAGAAAAAAAGAAAAGAAAAGAAAAAAAAAAGAAGAAAGAGAGAGAGAGAGAGAGAGAGAGAGAGAGAGAGAGAGAGGAGAGAGAG